AGGTTGTAAACAAATCACAATATTAGTGAGCTTCTTTTGAAAAAAAAAAAAAAGAAAAAAAAAGAAAAAAAAAAAAAAAAAAAAAAAAAAGAAAAAAATCCCAAGTGGCATACAACAGTGACATCCAACAACTGTTTTACAGCAGTTTATAGATTAATAAAATGCTTTGCTCTAATGAAAATATCAGTCTGTCACATCCTTTCATACACTATGCCTAACACTGTAGTTTGTGATATACAGCCAACAGGGATTTTACTCAAGAAAATGGTTAATAGGTTACTATCAATTTCTGATACAAAATGATAATGCTATGATTTTCAGTCTATAATAAAACAACCATTTTTCATCTAGATATACACATGGCTGCATTTGTCTGCTGGTGTATTAGTATATCAAGATGATGTGAAATACAGTACTGGTATTCTTTTGCTAATAAGGATAAATACTAGATTTGTATTAAAGTGAAGTGTGCTTCCAGATGATTCTGTACATAATCTGTTTCTACTTCTAATTCGCTGTGAGCAATGTTACTGACAACAGTACATTATACTTCTTGGATATTCTCATTCTCAATGACCAATGTTTCTGACAATATTACATATGTACTATGTAGTGTTGGATTTGCTGAGATTATATAAAACCTGATCTGAACGTCAGGTATGGCTGAGATAAGCTAGAATCAACTGCACTCTTTCCTTTGGTCTGATTACCAAGTAAAATCAGCCAGGTTACTTGCTTTGTGCTAAGCTAGCTAGGCTCACTAATCATTCTACAACAATACAAGCCAGATAAAATGCTATAACTAATATAAAATAAAATGGAATCTGAGTAAACTAACTACATATTACTCTGCCTCAAATAATGGTATGTTACATAGATATTAGTGACAATACCAAATAAAGAACAGCATGTTATCATTACTCAAGTTCTCTTGTCATAAAAAAATGATACTGTTAGTGTCCAACACAAAATCAATTTTTTTTCAGGTTTCTATTTCTAGATAAATATAAACAAAGATAGACTTAATATTACTATGAGAATAAAGATATCTTCAGAATAACTGTACTGAAGCTATATAAATTTTACAGTCTTGTAAAATGTATATAGCTTGTAATGATGCAACAACAATAAAGAAAGTATCATCAAAAGGAGATTATATTGTCTTTACAGCTTCAGTAGTTACAAAATTATGTAGAGTACCAAATCAACATAGTAATTATGTGTTATGCAGAATATCAGAAAAATGTGTTTAATGTTCAAATATTGACCCTGAATCTTTAGCAATAGGAAGGGAATAGAGAAAAGAAACAATAATTTCTGTTAAATTCCAATTTTGGTGTCTGTAAAAGCTCAGAAAAAGTATCACATAATAAGTGAAGTATCAGAAGAATACATGTACTGTTTCCTCAGAATATGGGGTATTTAAAATATTTGCAGAAAATCTTCATATGACAAAAATGTGTTTAGCTTTCTCAGATATTCTAATAAAAAAGTAAAGTTAAGTCATATTACATGCAAAAAAGAGACTAATCTCTATAGATTTTCAAAAAAATTCTTCTACTTTAAAAAGTTATACCCACCAAAAAGCATGAATTTGGAGAAAGTAGAAGTTAAGGGCAACTTTAAATTTCATTGTGGAACTACAAGTGGAGTGTAAATGAGTTGCTTATTTCATGTTATAGTAGAAATATGTTAAAAAATCACTATAGTGAAAGAAAGATGTTTCTCAGTGATGAAAATAACAAGCAAGTTCGAAAAGTGGCTGCTGGAAGACCATCAAATTATGTTGCATAGGATAGCACAAATACTGAAAACTTCAGTGGTGTCTGTGCAACTCAGCAAATTTCCAACCTAATGAATCACAAAAACATAGTACTACGACAATTGGTGACAAGAGCCATTTTTGCACTCATCAGTGGAAACAAGGAATACACTCAGTACCTCTTCCTGGTCCCAATTCATTTTTTTTATTTGGTTTTGATTTTTGGGATTGATAAAGTAGAAATTTTATATTGTTTAAAGTGTTGACTTGATGAGTGTAACAAAGAATAAGAAAGAGTTGAATATGAGAAAGAACCAGATCAGTTGAAAAGCTCCAACATCAGTAACAATGCTACATTGTAATAGCTAGAAGACATCATCATTAAGGCCAATACTCCTATAAAAAATACCACCATTACAGGCTAATCTTATAGCACAGGAGTAGCAAATGACTGTGGGATTTGCTTTCAAACAGTGATAAATTCTAATGACCAATAAACCATAAACATATCTTTACTGAAGAAAGATCAGATTACAAAAGCACAAATGACCGAGTCCAGCACATCTATCTATCACTGACTTGACAAAACAGGACAGCTATATCGATATGAAGTATGTGCCAGCAACTGGTATCGTGGATAGATTCATACTGTGCTTCAATCAAATGACAATACAATGGCCCCAAAACAATGCAATAGTACACACACAGCAGCACAAAAAATACTTTACGTTATTTAATAATAATACTCTTAATACAGCATTGCATTCATACAAATGGAGTACAAAAGCAGCACAGTAACATCACAATAGTAGCACACATTGTGTATGGGTATGGCAAAAGATATTTGTGTTTTGCCTTATCTGAAGCCCTAAAACATATTATGTCTCCATTTTATGACTTAATACCAACAGCATTACAATAAAAATGCAATATTTAACACAAAACTTTACTTGTGCAAAGGTTCACATGTGCAATAAGGAGATTCTTGTAGAATGGTGTGTATCATTAATGCAACCATTAGCACAGTGCAATGGAAATATAACATACAGAAGTGATGAAGAGAAAGAAATATAACAAGAAGGGAGGTTTTACTATGTTAATATTGCAATCATATTCTGATGTATTAATATATCTACTTGCATTTGTATTGTAAGCATGCTTGCAATACAAATTATATAGTAGCATGGCAATCATACAGTACCTGTCAGACAGAAAAGCCAAGTTACAATAGTCAAAATGTCAACGAAGTTTCATGTTAATGTGAATTGTATGAAATAAGTCTCCCACTTTCAGTAAAATACATCTATACATATAAAAGTATAAATAAATGATGTATGTGCACACACACACATATATTTGCATAGACAAATCATGGTTGTCTTTATTGAAGAGGTTTCAAAAAAAGTATTTCCTTGAGCATTTACTTCATCAGCTGTACATATATAATCTAACGGTAAATTATCTGTACTGTTATGAAAAATGAATAAAGTCCCATTGTTGTAACTGGCTTAACTGCCTGTATACACAAATATAACCGCAATAGCTACTGCTCATTACTTTTCATATCCTATTGGGTATAAAGTGAGAATATCTAAACTGAATTATTGGACTAATTAAAGATTACGAGGGGCTGAATTTGTTCATGCTGGTTTACTCGTCTACAAGTGAAAGATCTCTAACTACGTCAGCCTTCTGATATTTTTTGGTACAGAAAGATCAATCACTTTAAAAAGTCCCTGAAGTCAAAGACCTGAATGCAGCATCAACACTGGAGAACAGAGGACAGAGAAAATCTGGAGTAAGATACTTAAAAGTTAACGGACACTTTGAAGGGTATTAGCTATATGTCTGTTAAAGAGCTGTAAATGTAAACAATAACTTGGTGGTATATTTGGAATACTGCGTACAACAAGCCAGTCGGCACAACACAGGTAAAAAAAAAAAAAAAAAAAATAATATGTATATATATATATATATACAATGCTACATCCATCCAGCTTGCACTGCACCAACACAATAATACGGAGCTCAATGTTTACAGTGAAGTGAGCTGGTACAGCCCCTTCTCATCAGGTATGCAGGCCCACACAGACAAACCTTTCTGAACTGTACCTTCTCCCTATTTCCAATATTACGAGTTAACAATAAAAGCTGCTGTAAAGACCTGACGGGAAGTTGATAAAGTGTTTGGCAATAGATTCCATGCAACCGAACTTCCGACCAAAATCTTGACATTGTAGGGTAGAGCAAGGGTTACACTGGCTGGAGCATTTGTTAGATTTGTAAATATTCCCAACCTACCTTACTGCATCAGAAAAAACATTTAATTTGAAATTTTCACTTGCTTGATAGCATTAGTTATATTTTTCCTATACTAATAAAAAATTTACAATCTTGTAATACATGAAGTATAATTTCCCACGCCACTTACCCTCTCTATTTGTTTAACCCTATTACTTTCTTTGACATAATCTTACTTTACTATTATATCTTTGATATCTACAACTTTTGTCAATACAGTTGTTATAAACAGACCCCAAGGCAATTTTTGTAAAGACTAATATCAACTGTAGTTTTGCTTATAATTCTCATTTCTTTAATGATTCCTTTATATATAACTCTCTACATGAAATGGATTCCAACCTACTCAATTTACATAACACCCATATAGAGCAGTACTAAACCAACTCAATCACATAAACCACTAAAAATGTCCTTTAATGGGTTGTGTCCTCAAGCTTATTATGTACCTCTCACTGGGTGTTAGCTTAGATTGCAAGGTTCCGAAACCTTGTCAAGGAGGATAGTTATATAATGCTGCCATTATCTTTTGTTGGGTAAAATTTCGCCTCAGTCAACCAACAATGAAAAATCTACCTGAAACTTTTAAAATTCTTAACCCACTTAAGATTTTGCAATTATTACATGTTAATGCATGAGTTAAAAAACTATCACTCCATATTATCTAACTCATATTAGTTTAGATTTCCATGTTACTTAACACTTTTCAGTCAATCCTCAACACTTTTTACTAGCATAGACATTGTTGACAAAAGCTTTATCAGCCTACACATCTCATTGGTAATGTGGACAATGTGTTGATGCAGCCTGGAAAATCTTGAAAAATATTTCTGATGTCAATAGAGTACGTTAGTATGGAGCAGAGGTTTCCAAACTGGTACAAATTAACTGAGCACATTTTCTGAAGGATTTGAGGGTTGAATTCTGAAATACTTACATTGACCTCTGAGTAGACGATATCAATGAAGCTGCCAAGCACAATGATGAAATCAAACACATTCCACGCGTCGCCAAAGTAATACTGCAAACAGTACAGAAAGTGAAGAACTGATTAGCTACGAACAAAACCTAATCTACTCTGACTACCGGGCTGAGGCAGGCAGTCATGGTTCTACTGGCATGGCCAAGAACTGCTCTCAGTGACAAGGACCAGAGTCGTAGCGGGATTTGGGAGTTTATCATGTCTATGGTGAGATGCTGGATTTAGGCAGCAGTAAGTGTTGCTGCAGGTTGGATGGAGAATACAGGATGAATGAGGCAGATATGAATATTTTATTACAAAGGAGGTGTTCTTATGGCCTAGATTTTTTTGTGTTTTACTGACTGATAACCTTTAATGCTTGTCATCTCAAAACAACAATGGTTCCAAACTCAGTTTCTTGCCAAAAGAACATCTCATGTACATACTGTTAAGTTAATATTTGGAGGACACAGCTACAGCAGCCTCCCACTGAAAATAAAACTTGTTAACAAGTCTTACTGCAGTTTAAGGTAGTTCCGAGCCCAAGCTACCTCACTCGGCAGACTACCATCACCATACCCTTGAGGACCTGTCACATGGACAGTGTGGGGAAGGTTGCCTACTCTCACCATTGGCGTAACAGAAGTTAAAATCAAGATTTGTGAAAGTTAAGAGCAAGACAGGTAACAGATAATACATAGACTTTCTAGACTTAGAATGTTCTATCGGTCAGGTGGGCAAACCTCCCAACGTTTAACTGTTTAGTTTCGCATTCTTGTAGCCATAGTGTTATTTTCATCAGTCCCTACAGCAGCAGCTACCCTACCAACGCTGTCATGAACTCTGGTACGTTTCTCTTACAAACCTCCAGCTTGGAGTAGGCAATGTCGAGTATACTGCCCAGCACCACAAAGAAGTCAAAGATATTCCACGGATCTAGAAAATAAAACTGCAAATAGCGCAGAGGATGAAAATAAACAGGGTATTACTATGGACCTTTAGTAATCTAACTTATCAAAGGTAAAATGTCAAAAAATGACTTTAAAGCTGCAATGAGAAAATAATACCTTTTTTGGGATTTGTTAGTGCAGGGGATGAGGGTGCAGCTAATGCAAATGCTGTGCAGTGTTTACTTTTGTTTATTCTGAATGATGTTTATCAAAGTAGATGTGTATTTTGTGTGCATTTTGAAATGACTAATACTGTTTACAAATGCACCTGAAATATAGTTATGTAAAATAAACATTAATCATATTTTCATCTTCGTAACAAACAAAGGAACTAGGTTGCTGAAAACTAACAACCTGTTAATTACAATATCAAGATGAAATGTAGTAACTGGTGAATTAGTACCTGATAACAAATGTCACAAAACATTTTAAGCTGAATAAAAATCTAATGAGATGAAAAAAATCTGCAATTAAATATTAAAACCCAAGCACGAAGACCTTTACTGATGTGATTCTCTTTGTCATATATAAAGTTATATTGTACTTGATACGGGCAATATTGAAAAATTGTAATCACATGAAACAGAATATCTTCATATGCTTCTTAGTTGCTAAGCATTTGGAACTTGGATTCTAATATCAATGAGAATTTTAAAAATCTTTATACAGTTTACCTGGCATGAAAATAAAAAAAACTTGTCTTTCGTAATATTCTTGTGCTCTATAGCAAACTGATGTACCCTTTTCTTTTAACTGTATGTAGTGTACATTAATACAATAAATAATTTAGTTCACCACACAAGAGTCTGCTATTGAGTAGTGATATCTAAATTTGCGTATATTTGTCCCAAAAATACGTAAATGTTGTAAATATCTAAGAAAGAGAGTGTGACAGGGAGGCAAAAGAAAAGTGATTCAGAAATTTTGTAAAGTAATAAAAAGTTAAGCACATTCTGGTAATCTGTTGCAACCTGTAAAGCAAAATTATATTTTAGATATTTCAAGTTTTATCAAATTAGCATTTTGCAGCCACTGCAGCAGCCTGAAAATAATAAAGAATATAAATCAAATAATCATCATGCTATGGTTAATAAGGCCCCTCAAAAATCAGACAGTCACTCTGAATCCTCCCCTAAAAGTTGTTCTCAGTCATAAAAAAGGAAGAGAAAATATTTTCTTCTCCTCTTTAAGAATGAAGAATGCACTTTTGTAATATGCAACCTGCAAATCAAAACTGAAGACACGTCTAACAGACAGGGACAGTGGTGGATCTAGAGAACACTTGCCCCCTCCTACAGAATAATAATAACAACAACAATAATAGTAATAATCATAATAACATTATTACCATTATTTTTATCATTACTATTATTGTTATTATCATTATCATCATCATTATTATCCTTGTTACTTTTATCATTATTCTCATTATTACTATTATCATTATTTCTTTTATTATTAGCAATATCATCATTATCATTATTACAGAGGACTCACCACTAACAGCCTTCCCCAACACAACACAG